AACTGTTCTTTTTCCATTTCGCGTAGATCAACTTTTTTTTTCGATTCCCTTCTAACGTAATGCGCATGCAAAGAACATGTCAATATCTGAGTTATGCAAATGTGTGTTTTTATTTGGGGGTGGGGGAGTGTGTGTTTGCTTAGGGAGTGAGAGGTTGGGATAGTCTTTTGTCATGCATCTGGCGATCGTGTGACGCCTTGGCACGGTGAAAGCCTTCAGTCTTGCAAGCAAGTCTAGTTTATTATTATTATTTCTTTTTTTCGCAAGAGCCTATTTCTCAGTGTCTGTAACAGATACCGATATGGGACCTAATTTTCTATCAGGAAACCATGTGGTGGCTACTTGATAAACTATTTTTGAGACTTCTGCGCAGACCGGAAGTGGCCGAATTTCGTGCAGTGCATAAAAATTAAAAACGGCCATAGCTTCGTCAATTCTGTACCTATTTTCATACAAATGACATTTTCAGAAACCCTGAGTCTTTTCTCTGACGATAGCAGTTGAAAATTTCGAAATTTCGAAACTTCGTCGCTGACTTCTAGCGTTCGAAAAATGAAAAAAAATTTTAAGACACAATTTTTGTTCTTTTTCAAAATTTTCAAATTTGACCTACATTTTTGGATACCTGAAGACCATCCGATTCCAGATATATAATATTCATTCCGAGTTATAGCCCTTTATTTTTCGATTTTTTTCGAATTTTCTGCCCATTTCCCAACCCTTATATTTTTTGGAAAGGATAAATCGGTATTTCTGAAAGTCCTGGAACATAAAGCTATATAGTCAGCCCGCTGCATAAAGTAATTTCAACAACCATCCGGAAACCGGAAGTGGTCGAAATAATGATAGATATTTTGAAAAAAAAACGCAAAAAATGGGTGTTTTGGGGAAAAATTCGATTTCTCCGTCCAGTATCAATGGATTAAACGAATTAAGCTTTAGTTAAGTGGCCCGAGGAATGGGCTGTCGTATGATGCCCAATTTATACGGATACTATGACCAAGCAGCAAAAAAGCAGCGTTTTTGGACGCCTGTATCTTGAAAACGGCTCCAAGGATTTTTCTTAAACTTTCCCTATCGAGAGTCCCTCGTGTAGTCTTGTGCATGAATCCATCCAATAAGACATTGAAATGTCTGGAATAGGTAAAATCGAAAAAAGTTGAAAAATCGTGAAATTTTGGAAAATGCTCTATTATTTAAACAATTATTTTACAAAAAAAGTTACACATTCAGATAGCTGACCTAATTACGATTCTAACGATATATAATATGTATTGAAATATTTAAATTTAATTTTCGATATATTGACATTTTTGCATTTTTGGCATTATTGAACATAGGATTTCCCAGGAACATTTTATCTGATATATCATTACATAGGCCTGTGGCTATTTGATAAGCCAATCCGGTTATTAAAACTATCCTGACAATAATCTCCATACCGGAAGTATTAAAAAAATGAAGAAAAAAGGTTTAAAAAAATAGCGCTCTTGCGAAAAACTTGATTTCTCCATCAGATGTTAGCGGACCAAAAGAACTAAAGTATCGCTGGATAGCCCCATTAATGGACTATCATATGACATCTGAATGATACGATTTAGATGGCTAGAAAATAAATTATGGTACGCCGAAAATCTAGTATTTTCCGTTTTGGAGCATTTTGAGACGCCATTTTCTCGAAAACTAAATTTTTTCTTAAACTTTTTTTTACTCAGAATCCTATCGGTTGACTATGTCGTGAGTCCAAAAATAAAAGCATTGAAATAATATAAGTGGTCTAAAAAGAACCTCCGTCTTGGAAAAAAGTTGAAAAATCCTTAAATTACTGAAAATGATCTTCTAATTTTCTTTCTTTGGAAAACAGCTGAATGGATTATTCTGAAACTTCTTGTACAGAAGATAAGGTAACCAAACAACTTGTTAAAGCTATCCCGACAGTGATCCAAAAACCCGAAGTAGTCGAAAAAATTTCTGATATATTGAGGAGAAAAAACGTAAAAAGTAAAAAAATGGCGATCTTGCGAAAAAGTGATTACTGCGCCAGATTCCACGGAATCAAAACAACTAAAGTGTCATTGGATAGTTCGAACAATGGACGATCTTATGACATCTAAATGGTAAAAATTCGCGGATTAGGCAATATATAATGGAAAGCTGAAAATATATTATTTTAATTTTTTGAGCCTATTCAGACACTTTTATTTCGAAAACTTCTCTTATTTCCTTTCTTAAACTTATGTTACTTAGAGTCCTAACGGTGGTCTATGGTGTGAATCTAAATTTAAAAGCCTCAATATAGTATAAATGGTCCAAAAGGGCCACAATCTTTGAAAAAAGTCGTAAAAATCGTTATATCTGTAAATCTGCTTCTAATGGTATAATTTGGATCTTTCTGAAACTTCTGGTACAGGAAGTTAAGTTCCCATACCACTTGTTAAATCTATTCCGATAATGATCCGTAAACAGGAAGTAGTCAAAAAAATATTTGATATTTTTAAAAAAAAGACAGTAAAAAATCGGTGCTCTTGCAACAATCGGGATTTCACCGTCGGGTGTGACCGGATCAAAACATCTAAAGTATCGTTTGGTAGCTCGATAAATGGGCTATTGTATGACACACTTCCTGTCTGATTCCTGAAAGCCGGTTCAGTGCTGCTTGCAGGTCTAGTTATTATTATTATTATAACTCTGGCAAAAATTGTTGAAAATCGATAGGATTCTTTGTCTCCATGACCTTACAATTCGATATGCGCAAATATCGAGAAGAACCGAGTGGCAGCCATTTTGTCCGATTTTTACGAAATTCGATCTCAACCATCCTTAGGGTGTAACGATGATATATTCAAATGTTTTTTTAAATTGGATAAAAATTATGACCTCTATAGGGTCCACAAGCTAAAAACGTGATTTTTTTAACAATCAGGGGCCATAATTCAGGAAGTTACAATCCGATATGCGCGAATATCGAAAGGAACCAAGATTTTTGAGTTATAAACTTACATTTCAACTTTCAACAAAATCCGATAAAAATTGTGACCTCTATAGGGTCCACAACCTTGATATACCATATTTTTACGCTAGTTGAAAACGAAGAGCGGCCATTTTGTCTGTCAGTTTTGGACCGATTTTTACGAAATTCTAACTCAGCTGTCCCTAGTGTCGAACGGTGATATAATAATACGATTTTTTAAATCGAATAAAAATTATGACCTCTATAGGGTCCACAAGCTAAAAACGCCATTTTTTTAACAATCAGGGGCCATAATTCAGGAAGTTAAGATCCAATATGCGCGAATATCGAAAGGAACCAAGATTTTTGAGTTATAAACTTACATTTCAACTTTCAACAAAATCCGATATAAATTGTGACCTCTATAGGGTCCACAACCTTGATATACCATATTTTTACGTTATTTGAAAACGAAGGGTGGCCATTTTGTCTGTCAGTTTTGGGCCGATTTTCACGAAACTCGAAATCAGCTGTCCCTAGTGTCTAACGGTGATATAATAATACAATTTTTTAAATCGGATAAAAATTATGACCTCTATAGGCTCCACAAGCTAAAAACGTGATTTTTCGTACAATCAGGGGCCATAATTCAGGAAGTTACGTTCCGATTTGCCCGAATATCGAAAGGAACCAAGATCTGTGGGTTATAAGCATACATTTCAACTTTAAACCAAATCGGATAAAAATTGTGACCTCTACAGTGTTCACAAGATAAAAACGGGATTTTTCGTACAATCAGGGTCCATAATCCATGAAGTTACAGTCGGATACATGCCAATATCGAAAGAAACCGAGATCTTAGGGTGATAAACCTATATTTCAAGTTTCATTGAAATTGCATAAAAATTGTGACTTGTAGACTGTTCACAAACAATTGTGGACGGACAAACGGACAAGGGCGACGACAATATACGTCCACATGAAAATGTGGGTGTACAAAAATGGATAAATCCATAACAAAGTAAGGCACTAATTAAAGACACGTTCACAGAATATATATCGAAGATTTGAGTTAAAGAAATTTAGTTCCAATAGCGAGCAACGGTCAATTTACCGATGCGAGTATCGATTGTTTGCTTCCTGCATCCTGAACTTAAGATTTCTTTTTTTACATACATGTACTATAACTTTAGGTTTGGCATTAATCAGTTCACATTTTTAATAATTTCCGAAAAGACTATTCCTTTGTATGCTACTTATCAATTTGTACTGCCTTCACATATCCAATTAGTGCAGCTGTTTTTTTTTTTTATCATTTACATGAGCTTCTATCATGTAAAAAAAAATTTCATGCTGGTCTATTTTCAACTAAATTCATCACATATTTTTTTTTTTATATGAAATATTAAATGATGAGAAGAAACATACATATAATAACATTATTTTAGTAAACAATCAATGATGCAGTGGATATATACAGTGGAAATACATGGGGTTTTACAATAATTAAATTTGTATAAAAGTCATTTAAAGTAGCTAAGTCTCTAACTCAATATCATCCAAAATCTTCGACAATGAAAACAGGAATTATTTGTCAATTTAAATGAACAATGATGTTGTGATCTTGCCGGGAAAAGATGGGCTTCTAATATCCAATATGTAAGACAAAATAAAAAAAATTACAATTGGTACACGAATCGTGTACCATAATGCGTTTCAGGCCCATTTTTAACAAGGGACTTGAAGAACGAGGCTAGACGGTGACGCATAATTCTTACCTGGAGAGCATACGCAATACATGGTATGTAGACTGGAATAACCAGACGCTAGAGAGATTTACTTTAGATTGAGACTTCCGGCGTATTTCGCCGAACATAACTGATTTGAAATGAGAGTAAAGTCGGAAATGATTGAATGTAAATCAGTTTATATACACTCATATTACATTATTATATGCGTTGTGACCCATTTGTGTCAATTTCTAGGTCCCAAATATCAGCGATTTAGCTCCTTTAAATCCTCATTAATTTGATAAAATAACTGTACTCACCCCTTTTCAGGTTCAATAACTGTAGCTCCTTCATATTCTTCCCCGCTTTCTACTTTATGTGTTGGTAATATTAAATCTTGTTCTTTAGCCTGCAATTCAATTCAATGAAATGGGGTTTAATGTCCTACTCCGATTGTGCTAATGAAGACCGGCATACGCCATACAGTGTGCTATGACAGAAATTTTGCCCTGACAGCGGCACTATGGCCTAGTCTTATTATATATCGAATTCCAACTGTCTAGGGATCTTTTATATGCATACTAATGTGTACACGGGACCTTGGTTTTTTTTCAAATCTGAACAAATATACGTTGTCACTTGCCAGATCCTCTGTCCTGCACAAATGACAAGGCGGAACCCTCCCCAGGAAATCCTGATGAATTTTCTCGGCCAACACAGGGATTGAACACGGGACCTCCAGTTTAGCAAGCCAAAGTCTTACCCACTGAGCCACCGTCGCTCCCCCTGCAATTAAAAATAGTACATAAGATAGCAACGCAAAGCGTGGAGTACGCCCACACAGCATCTTCAACTGCAGCTTTTCCAAAAAGTAAACTTGGATGATAAGCAAATTTGATGAAGATCAAGGATCCTTGAAGAAATCTTATCTCTAGGGTTTATCCCAGTGATGGGATTTCAAAATTTTTGTTGTCGGACATTTTCTTCCCTAAAATAAAGGAACATAATTCTTATCGTTGTTTAAGCATGCGTTTTCAAACCACAATTAAGAATCATGTGTCAACAAAATATTCAAATTCATACGAAATAAAAACAAGATGACTAGTCATCACCATTCCGCGTGCTTGCATGGAAGGCATAAGCAAAAACAACTTCTTGGAATATCAATGGGACTAGTCAGAAGATTCATACTCTGATCACAGTAGCTCGGCAAGGCAGGGTCACTATTCACTGTAAGGTTTGCACAACAATCTTTGCCTACCTCAATCAGCTACTGTATGTTAAACAATAAGCTTATACATCAGAAAACAAATACTATAATAGGTTGATGTTTGTACAAAGTTTCAAAAAGATATCTTGAATGGCTTATGAGATATGCCTCGGAAACAAAATTGTACACCAAAAACTAAGTCAATTTTGTTTCCATGGAAACACAAAAGATAGGTTGCCAGGCAATGAAACAAACGCCCACAGCAGCTAAATCGTCCGGGCAATCAACAAGAGTTGTCACATATTTTTACTTTTTTCGGTAATGAAACATTTATAATACATTAAAATCTGATTCAGAGTAACAACTCATTAAAGATACATTAGGCTGACCTTAAAAATATCTTTGTTTCGCCTAACGCGACCGACTAACTAAAACCACCCCCGACTTAAATTATTTTATTGCACTTTTCCACGATCTTTTTATTTTATTTTGTGTGTCAACCTGAAATATATCACGAGAGTTATTTCCCTTTACTATGGCTATGGTTTGATTCATTATTGAAACTGGTTGATCAAGACGAAAGCGTCATAGGTGTCGCTTCTCAACAAAATGGTTGCAGACGAATACACGTCCATTCCCACGAAATGATTCTGCTTCTATGTCTGTGGTGCGTAGTTTTAAACATAACGACGATATTTTCAATATCCGTTTTCGAGAAAAATGAAGGCACAACCCGCACTATCGTTAAAAACGTGTTGAAGGAGTTTCACACTTCAAGTTCGTGGCAAATCATGTGCGAGTCGGGCATCACGAAAAATTCCCGATGTCATTGATTTTTTTGCCAATTGAATAAAGAAGACGAATGTTTCCACCCGGAAAATTATTAAGCTGTCAAATTAGCTCTTAAGTTTAATAAAAAGACTTTCAGTTCGTTACTTTTTACGTCAGACCCAAAATTCATTAAACAAAATTAATGAATCTGTAGTATACAGCTAATAAGTTTTCTGTATTGATTTCTCTAACTTTAAAAAAAAAAATCTGAAAAAAAAAAACGACCTACCGACCCTTCTCCTCGATTGTGGGTCGGGTTTGGTGAAACGAAGATATTTTTAAGGTCAGCCTTATGGGAGATTTTTATAGAGAGTTGGCCATTCTTGCTATAACAGTTCAAAAGTAGATGATGAAAGAAGAATATATTGAAAAATTCAGTCAAATTACTTTATTCTGAACATAGTTATCATCGTTGTAATATTTGACTAGAAATGGTAGCGAAATGCGTCTTCACCTTGGCCGATCGTTTGATTGACAGGCGTTAACTCCACCTACATATCTCGATTATCAAGTAAAGTTTTCAATGGCATACGGAAAGGCTTTACAGCGGCCTCGCTAAGTACACTCTATCATTTAGCCTTGATCTAACTGACGTATTTTCATCAGGTTGCCCCATACTTGATTTAATCAATTAGTGAAATCCTATTTAAATCCGAGCTGAAGTCGAGCCATCCGTGGGTCTACAGAGTTGATTTTGGGCTTGTTGTTTAAATAAAGATCTAATTTATAATTTTTATAACATCTGAAGCCTAAATTAAGACTTGCAATAATCAGATTTAGCTCTTGCATAATGCATGTTTAAGTAATTATCAGAAAACCATTAGAATTTGTTTTGCCCCATGCTGACGTTTAGTATAGGAAACTTTTAACATCATGGATTTAGCTGTTCAAGTCATAAAAATACTTGTTCGTCTCAAGATCTTACACTCTGTGTATGAATCTGAAGTCAATCGGATGATGACAAGATTTTTCAAAGTGATCAAGGGCCATAACTTTGGCAGTAATTATCGGAAATCGTTGAAAATCAATATGATTCTTCGCCTCATTACCTCAAACACTCTGTATCAATTTAAAGTCAATCGGATATTAACTTTAGCCTCTAGAGCATTTACAAGATTTTTTGAAGTGATCAAGGGCCATAACTCTGGCAGTAATTATCGAAAATCGTTGAAAATGAACTTCTTCGTCTCATGACCTTAAACAGTGTATAAATTTAAAGTCAATCGGATATTAACTTTAGCCTCTAGAGCGTCCACAACCAATTGTGGACGAAGGACGGGGGCGATGACAATATACGACCACATTTAAATTTAAATGTGGGCGTAAAAAAATTATTCGGGGATACCTGTTCACGTTATTTTACCATTATGACAGAGAAAAGTCATAATTTTAGTGGAACTGACTTTTCAATGTTATTTATAGTAATATAATTTCTACTTTGTAGAAATGAATTTTATATCATTGGAAAGAACACCACAATCTGTACATTTATGTAACAGAGTATTTCTATGTATAGAAAATATTTTTTTTGTTACTTGCAATTATGTAGAGGGTATTAGGATTAAATGTGGGCGTAAAAAAATTATTCGGGGATACCTGTTCACGTTATTTTACCATTATGACAGAGAAAAGTCATAATTTTAGTGGAACTGACTTTTCAATGTTATTTATAGTAATATAATTTCTACTTTGTAGAAATGAATTTTATATCATTGGAAAGAACACCACAATCTGTACATTTATGTAACAGAGTATTTCTATGTATAGAAAATATTTTTTTTGTTACTTGCAATTATGTAGAGGGTATTAGGATTAACAATAATCCACTAATTGGCTTAGGGAAATGGGCCCTGCTGATTTAATTAGCTTAGGGGTAGGGTAGCTAATCTTTTAATTGGCTCAGGGGTAAATAGGTTAAGACGAGGTACAGTAGAGATCGAAAAGAGACGGGGGGGGGGGGGTATGTGTTGTATGAAATAGAAAATATGAGACAAAAACTAAATTATCAGAGATACGAAGTTAGATATTCAAGGTTATGTCAGCAAATTAATGGAAGAGCTATTAAATGACTATGGAATCAAGCTTGTACTGATTTCACAATATGACTGGTATCGACTAGCGATAATTAATTCACCTTTCAGTCAATTTCTTATCCAATATCTCAACCCTGTTAATTAACATACCTCATCAAGAGATACAGCAAAGAAAATATCCGCTTTTAGCCATTCTTAAGAAATTGAGAGCGACATGTTCATATCAACCTATAGAGCTAGATTTATACATGGCAAATGTACAGATCACACCTTGATTTTTTTCTAGTGGAAGTATAGTTCTTACTTTTCTGAGAAGCTGTGAAACAACCTTGATCTGTTGACCTCTAGATAACAAACAACTCATAGTTACACCAGTTACACGAGCCATCTCCATATAATTAATAACGCACATCAATTTACCAAGTAGTTTCAACGGTAATATAGCATCTTTTAAACAATATACAGCTAAACGACGCCTTGTCTGCTCATTACCATTCTACAATAAAATAATTTTACATGTGAATCTACTATCTTTAATTACAGTTCAGCATCCAATTTAATATCTTTAAATTAAGTTCAGCATTCAAGTTAATATCTTTAATTTCGTTTCAGCACTCAAGTTAATAAAGGTCTATAGCTGACACCAAATGTCATATTAAGCAATCACAGTTGGTGGATTATTTTACTGTGGTAGCTTACTCTTTAAACCAAATTTGAAATAGCCAATCATTAAAATGTAAACAAACGAAAACACATGGTTTATTATTTACTATACGAGGTCACAATTTTGTGCCGATTTTGATGAGACTTAAAATGCATGTTTATAACCCAAAGATCTTGGTTGCTTTCGATATTCGCGAATATCGGATCTGAACTTCCTGAATTATGGCCCCTGATTTACGAAAAATCGTGTTTTTAGCTTGTGGTCCCTCTGGAGGTCACAATTATTAACCTATTTAAAAAAATGTTTGAATATATCACCGTTACTCCATTATGATGGCTGAGGACGAATTTCATGGAAATCGGACCAAAATTGCCAGACAAAATGGCCGCCTCTTGCACGCAAATAGTGTAAATATATGGTGTATATCAAGGTTGTGGATCCTCTAAAGGCCACAGTTTTGATCCGATTTTGATGAAACTTGTAATACAATCAGGGGCCATAAACCATGAAGTTTCGATCAGATACATGCCAATATCGAAAGCAGCCGAGATCTTTTGGGGATAAACCTATATTTCAAGTTTCGTCAAAATCTGATAAGAATTGTGACCTGTAGAGAGTTCACAAACAATTATGGACAGACGTCCAGACATACGGACGTCCGGATGGACAGGGGCGACGACAATATAAAAATATCATATCAATGCCTCGCAGGAAATTAAATGGTTCATCTAATAGTGAAACGGTCAACCCAGTGATGGGATTTCAAAATTTTAGTTGTCGGACATTTTCTTCCCGAAAATAAAGGGACATAACTCTTATCGTTATTTAAGCAGGTGTTTTCAAACCACAATTAAGAATCACGTCTCAACAAAATATTCAAATTCATACTTAATAAACAAAACAGGTGCACCTCGTTATTTTTCATATTTAATTCCCGTGCGGAATTCAAATTTATGTCAATAATATTCCTACAAAATTACATGACATCGTAATACCATAGAATGAAAGCGTGCCGACTACTGCCCATCCGTACCGGTTTCAAATTCCCCCAAAATTCCTGTATTTTTCGGGTCATAAGTCGATATATTTTTCGACAAAGTCCGGCATTAGTCGATTTCAAAACAGAAGGTAAAAAAATGACATCCCAAAATTTATTGGGCCGTAAACCGTAGTAAACGTCGCTCTAATAAAACGAGCGAGTGACACCAACTGCTAAATTAAAATAATCCCATTCTACTCTAAGCATGCGCTATCGTCTAAAACAATTACCGTAACCACTTACGTTATTCCAATCGAAATATTCGTCAACATTTCTTAGCGTGTTTTATTTATTTATCTAAAAACATAAACCCCATTCAAAATATTATCATATATCCGACAATATGCCATCAAAATAGAATCTTTTCTCCCGACATCAGACGTATTAGATTCGGCACGTTTACACCTCTTAATTCCACGTGTCTCGCGAGATTTCTACTTTCATTTTGCGCGTGTGTGAAATAGCTTTATTTAACTTCGGCTTCCACTGAAGAAATATCACTGACAAGTAATCGGACACATTGTATATTGATTTGGGGTGTTATATACTATTAGGATATGTGACACATGACTAATGCCTACGGTCGACATCAAGGAGATTAAAACGTGAGACAATGGAGAAATCACGGGTTAATCTGACTTCTGTTCAGGATTGAATCGATGAATTGTCCGACAAAGAATAAAGTCAGCCAATCAAGGCAGATTAAGTAGTTAATCAAGGTAGGTGTATATACGGTATTAAACGATAAATATGTTGATCACTTAATTACCTAATCAATCCAGTCTATTTTCAACGATAATCGGGTTGAGTGGTACACTCACTACACTATATTAATTTTGGAATTTTGAATATTATTTACCATGTCTTGATGTCCAATTGGGAATATTCCTGGTTGGACAATTTAGGACGATTGGAAAATAGCGTCGGACATGTCCGGAATATACGAACAAAATCCCATCACTGGGTCAACCGTTCAACTAAGCTATAGTACTAACTAACTATTTTTGTAGTTCTCAAACAATTTTTATCAATTTTTAATGCAGAGAGTTACCTGTAGATCAGTAATAATGGAATGTTGCACATCTTCTTTTTGTTCTTGTAGAAAATGGAAGGATACTGCATTTAAAGTGTACGATCGTAGTTTATAATCTCTAAATAAAATCTGAAAATGACATTAATTTATATGATTTAATACATATTTCTGTAAAAGGGCTGTGCATAGGCTATATATGTGACCTGTGCTGGTCACAATGATAAAATATGGAAAATTGAGCTATTGTTATTTTCACATTCTCCATCTCAAAGCCGAAGGTCTATCTGACAATATCGACAACCTTTTTTATTTTCAATATTGGCCTCCATAATGAAAAGAATTTGGGAGTTTTCATGAGTTATTTGTTTATTAATGTCATTTAATAGGTTTTCAATAGTTATGTGTTTATTAATAGGTTTTTGGGAGGTGTTGAATATGAGAATTGCAGTATTAGGAGTCAATCCGACAATATCTGCCAGCTTGATTTTCAAAATGGTGACTACAATGCTACTGTGTCATGCAATTTTCAGTGCGTTTCACCATATTAGTACTGTGTTGCGTAATAGTTCATGATACAGGTTCTCTGGGGTTTTGAATATGAAACCGTAGTATTAAGGGGACCCACGGCTCGAGTTCAGTATAAAATTGGCAAATTTCATCATTTTCATGGAAATTGAGATTTTACTGTATTTGACTCCACAAATATGTTTACTTTCAAATATCAGTTCATTTTTTTATCAAATATTTGTTTTTAAATATGTATTTAGTCATTTTCTCACCCTATCTGTGTTGTTTTGTTGATAAAATTAATATTATTTCCTAAAATTGTTCGTATTTCGCCCACGATTGCCGCCATGATGGCGGGGGAAATCCCAGCATGCTTTTTTTTTTTTTTTTTTTTTTTATAAAAATCTTTATTTCAAATAATCAATAACAGCATAGTACATAGTTCACATATTACAATCACAGTGTGTAGCATCATACAGATAGCGTCGGTTTAATGTTGAAGGCTATATTATATTACATTGAGTAGAGCAAATATATTCACAAAGAAAATAAAAGCTAATAAAAAACTAAACAAAAAAAATACAAAGATAGCTACAGGTATTAAGGGGTTGGAATACTAGGAATGGAATACTAGAGGTATGCATAATATTCATATGGTATAATCCCATTTATTTACTAAGGTTTCGTTTAATTCATTTTCTATCTGTTGTTTACTTTTTAGGTAGTTTCGATAATTAATAATTGTCGGTCTGATATTTTCTATTTGTAGAGGTAGTATTTTGTTAAAAATATTAAATGATTTACAAATAAGAATTAACGATATGATTTAAAAACTGTTTCTTTCAGAAAACCGAAATGAATGTTCGTATGTTGTAATTGTAATGAAATGTCATTAGTTGAGAAGATTTCATGTAAATCATTCCATATTGCCTGGGCGTAATTGCAGTATATAAAAAGGTGTTCCGGGGTTTCTATATTTGAATAACAAAAATCGCACAATGAAGACTCCTTTAATTGGATTTTAAATAAACGGTCGTTTGTATATATAATTTTATGGAGGTATTCAAATTAAAAATTTTGTAATCTAGTATCAGTGCTCGTTTTATAGACCATATTGAATATACATGAGGTTTCACGTTCTTCAAGTATAAAACTATTCTCTTCTTCCCATTTACTTATTGCTAATGGTTTACTGTATTTAGAATCTACTCGTATTGAATATATGTCTTTTGCTTTAATCTTATCTAGTGATTTTTTATATATATTTATACAGTTGTTATTAATAATGTCAAACACGCTTTGTTTTCTTACTATAGGCGTAGGTTCGTAGTCGATTGTATCCAAAAACTCTTTAACTGCTAAGCAAACGCTTTTCATTCTTAATATTTTATTACTATTCATTATCCTATTGATTAAAAAGTCTTCTCTACAGTCAACCAAAAATAAAATATTATCATTCATCAATTCTTTATCTATTAAAGGTTTTTTGTTAATCTTTATATGCTTATTGTTCCAGATGATTTGATTTTGAGGGCTTATTAACATATCGATTTTTGAGGTATAGATATGGAACCAATTATTGAAAAGTTCTTGATAGAAGGGAGATAATTTTAAAAAAGATGTTGCATAATTACATGCCGGTAATATTTGTCCGTCATACTCGTTTAACATATAAGCGTACGGAATTTTCCATGATTGAACATCGTGTGATAGTATCTTTTTTATCCAGAATACGCTACGGCATATCATCATTTCTTTTAAGTCAATCATATTTAGCCCCCCTTTATTTATATCTTGATTTATAACTGTTCTCTTTAGTTTATCAGGCCCGTTCCATATGTAGTTATAAAATAATTTATTAATGCCTTTAATTACATTTTCAGGTATAGTTTTAACTGATGCAGGGTATAATATTTTAGATAAGCAGAATGTTTTTATTATATGGATTTTCCCTATTAAACTTAAGTTTCGTCTTTTCCAGGTATTCAAAGTATCTTCAATTTGGTCTATACAATTTTCAAAATTCATTTTTTCCAAAGTTTTTTCGTCTAGTGAATAGGTAATGCCTAATAATTTTATATAGTTCTCACGGTAAATAAAGCCTAAACCTTTAATATTATCAGGTAGTTGTGCGTTGCCACTGTTTAGATCGATCGCTTCAGTTTTAGTAGCGTTTAATTCTAACCCAGAAACCTTACTAAATTTGTTTAAAACCTCAAAAAGGTGCCCAGCTGATTTAAAATCTTTCAATAAAACTGTCATATCATCTGCAAAAGCTATTAGTTTTAACGATTGATTCCCAAAGGTAATTCCCCCTATGTTTATATCGTTTCTAATATACATACATAATGTTTCGATAACGAGGTTAAAAAGATTTGTGCTGCTAGGATCACCTTGAAGTACTCCCCTGGCCACTTTAAAATAAGGAGTAGTGTATCCATTATTCATTACTGCACAGTTAATGTCATTATATAATGTTTGTATCCATCTTAAGTAATTGTGTTTAAATCCAAAAGCGTCCAAAACAGAAAACAGATATTTATGGCTAACGCTATCAAAAGCTTTTTTAAAATCAATGGCTAAAAGAAAACCAGTTATTTTCTTAATTTTTGCGAGGTAAAAACAATCATCAATGATACGAGTATTTTCCTGTATATGCCGTCCAGAAATAAAAGCTGTTTGATTTGGATGTATTAAATATTGAAGAAAGGGTTTTAATCTTAATGATAAAATCTTACTTGCTAATTTTACGTCTACATTTATAAGTGTGATGGGCCGCCAGTTAGATAGAAGTGATTTATCTTTGCCAGGTTTTGGTATTAGTTTAATAATAGATTGTCTTTGTGACTTTGATAATTGCCTGTGTTCAAAACTATAGTTAAATGAGTTTAGTACTAATGTATTAATAAGAGGCCAGTATTCACGGTAAAATTCTATATTCAGTCCATCATTGCCTGGGGTTTTATTATTTTTAAATAGTTTTAATGCTTCCAAACATTCACGGTTGTCAATTTTATGTTCCAGCATCTGACTTTGATTTTCATTTAATTTTGGGAAGTACTGTTTCCTGAGGAATATTGTATCCTATGGGTAGTCTCTGAATAAAGATTCGAGTAATAGTTATAAATTTCCCTTGATATTTCCTTTGGGCAAGTAATTTCACTATTATCTTTTTCAATTCTGTTTAATGATGTTGATATTTTATTTTGTTTCTCTAAACTTAGCAATAATTTTGTATTCTTTTCCCCCTTTTCGTGCCACTCCACTTTAGATCTTAAGATAGCCCCACAGATTTCTATATCAAAAATTTGATCAAGCTTGTGTTTAACGAAGTAATATTTTTCGTATGTTTCGACATCATGAGTGTTTAAGGATGAAATTTTATTTTCTAGACCCTGCATTTCTTGTATTAGTTTTTCTTTTAACATACTTTTAATTTTTTGTTTCTTTTTACAGTATTTAATGGTTTCATTTTTAATTTTAAATTTAACGTAATCCCAAAGTCCCCCTCTATCTTCCTTATCATGATATTCATCCTTCCATATACTGATGGCGTTCTTTAATAATTTGTAATAATTTTTATCTAATATCAGGTTGTTATTAAATATCCATAGTCCAGGCCCTCTTTTTGAATCAATAGTACATATTTTAATAGCAATTGCTTGATGATCACTGAATGTGTTTGGTATAATGGTGCACTCTTTTACAAAATCTTGAGTAGTGGCCGAGATTAACCAAAAATCTATCCTGCTTTGTATTAAAGGCTTAAGCTGTTTCCACGTATATCTACGTAACTTTGGATTTCTAACTCTAAATATGTCGATAAGATTAAAATATTTTATTATGTTTATAATAGCTACCTTGCTGTTGTTTTTTATTTTATAATTTCCACCCGTTCTGTCCAAGTCTTTGTTCATCACATTGTTAAAATCCCCGCCTATGATAACTGACAAGTCGTCGTAAACTTCAAAAGATTTGAGCATCTGATCTTGCAGTTTAAGAAAATGGGCCTTTTGCTGAATATCTATCGTGGGGCTATACGTATTAACGAATAAAAAATTAGTCTGTAAGCAGTTTAAAATCAAAATAATAAAGTATCCATTTTCAACAGCTGTATATGACTTAATATCTAGATTACTCGATGTATTAAATAAAATGGCAGTTCCAACTGAATTACTCTTTCCGTGTGCAAATATTATGTGATCTCCCCATTCTAGTTGCCAGGTGATTTCATCTGAGTTTGTGCTATGTGTTTCTTGCAGAAATATAACTTTTGCTTTTTGTTCCTTTAACCATACAAATATTTTATTACGTTTGATTTTATTACGCATACCTCTAGTATTTAAAGATATAATTTTTAAGTCTTCCATTGATATATGTAGATACAGTATATTATAGTTGCATTTGTATTAATTCTGTTCATGTTTAAGCATAATTCGTATAATGAGCATAATCTAAATAAAGTAAAGCTTACGATTGTTCTAACGATATAAAAAACATTTTTAAAAACGGTGACATCACTGTATATATATAAATATTGGTTTAAACTAACAAAGTCATTTGGTACTATGCGTTTAAATGTGGAATTAGTGTTCATAGATAGCTGTGTAATACTGAATGGA